AAAACATAATGTTTTCGAATAAAATGACAAAAGGATGTGCAACTGTCAAGCAATTACAAGCAAATGCAATTCAATCGATTTGAAAGTTAAATTAGTTTAACTGTTAACTTTACTACACTTCGTTTACGGGAACAGCTCATATGGACAAACCGACTTTTCGAGTTGACACATATTTCCGTTATAGTTCTTCACGGAAAAAAATAATTTGCTGCAGCAGCAAACTAATTTGCTACATATGGACAGTTATATATAATTCGCTGTGTTAGCTTTTTCTTTGCTGCAGGAATCTATTTTCTTGCTATGATAACAAGAAAATTTGCTTCTACAGCAAGAAAAATGGCTAACGTTGTTACAGAAAATTTGCTACAGATGGACATCTAAATATAATTTATTGCTTTAGCTACTTTTTTTGTTGCAGGAGCAGATTTTCTTGTTATCATAGCAATTGCTCCTGCAGCAAAGAAAAAGTGACTAATACAGAAAATTATGTTTAGTTGTTCATATACAGCAGATCTTTTTTTTCCATGTTGCCATTAGGAGTAAAAAGTTATCAAAACCTGTAAAGCGTGCGCCGGTACGCTGAATATTATCGCCTCATTGAAGATTGGACTTTTCTCGCCTTTTTTCACAGAAGTCTTCTTTTTGTGCATCTTCTTCCCTTGTTGAAGTAGGTATACCTTAGCAAGAAAAGACGTTAATATCTTTTTTTTTCTCTTATTTAATTGCAATGATTTCTAAATGATTTCTGAATGATTGATTTTCAAAAGATGAAAAGGAATGTCTATACGTTACCTTGACGAAGAAATCACCCGGACTAGAATTCGCGCCGCGCAAATTGCGGGCTTTGACTACTACGAGAGTGAGTCTCTCCGCCGTTGGCAAATAACTCAGAGAGAACATTAGCTCTCCTAGATGCGGAGTGGGTGAGGCAGGTCCACTGAGTGCCAGCCAAGTCGTTGCTGGCGGTCTCGCCGCGGGCCCGAGCTTCAAGCTGGCTTCGCCGATTAAGGACGCACCGCCGCCGATGTTGGACTCGTCAGAAAATACCTGGGCGATGAAAGGGATAATCACGTGAATTTTGACGGGACAGAATACGTTAATATTAGAATTAATATTAGAATTTATCTCTAAATCCTTTGCTGCAATAGATTTATATGAAACGAATGATTCAATAGGAAAGCACCTCGACAAAGAGTGTTCTGCCTGCTGGGCCACCATCGAGAGGGAATAGGAATTTCTCCTGATAACTAGGCGATGGACATCCTCTATAAATTCTTGTTTGCACGTGCGTCTGTCTATCGGGTAACAGACACACCCTACGAAAAAAAAAACAATCTTTCAATATTTTTATTTATAAAAGTAGGTTATCAATTAATGTATTGATAAAATTTGTGCACAATATGTTAAATCTGAGTATAAAAGTTGTAGTCTAATTTTTTTATGTGTATATAAAGTTAATTAGTACACGAAGAAAAATAAATTTGCTCTTTTAGCAAAGTCGTCGTTGCTCCTGCATATTCGTAATGACAGCAACAAAATTTAGTTGACGTAACTAATTTTACAAATTATTCGTTATCAGAGCAGAAGTAGTTTCGTTGCCAGAATAAAAAAAATTTGTTGAGTGTATTTGTCCTAAGAATCACGTTAATTTACTATCGATGCAAAATAATATATTCTTAGCAAATTTATTTGTTATCGGAACAAAACTGCAACTGATTATATAAATCCATCATGATTCTTACAGCAAAATAACTTGTAGATTCAGCAAATTATATCCGGCAAATAGTGATTAGTACTCTCAGCAAATCTTTTTGCTGTCCATATAATAACGAAAAGATTTTGTTAAACTAGCAGAAAATTTGCTGGGTCAGCAAATTATTTTTCTCCGTGCATAGATAGAATTTTCCATCTTTTACGTTCCATCTTTTTACACACAACGGCATACTGATGCTAGCAAGTAGAGGACACGTACCTAACGAAAGTGTCTTGAGCAGGAGAACCATCAGCAGCAACCAGATCCCTGGCTTCCAGGACACTCACGGCCAAGTCGCCTTCGCTGTCGCTTCCACGACCACCCCATCTCTCATGTTCAAGGCCGACGCAAATGTGCCCTACAATGGGTGCCTCCTCCAAGTCGTTGAGATTCACGCTAGTGTCGGAACATACGCTCTCGCAACTGATT